TCCATAGATGAATTAAAATGAAATTCGAGACGGGTATAAAGATAGGGAGATGTGGTTTGACACTTTAGCACAACATAGCCATTTGTGGCATAATTGGTGTTGTTTCCGTCAATTGGTGCAATAGGGATAACAGAAAGCTGAACTTCATCCACTAGAAACAAAAACGATTTTAGTTAGTATTTGAGGCTTTGATTTGTTAAAATACTAACATTTTAGGTAAGTTAGCAAAAAATATAATATGAACTATAAGGATCCATAAGTGACAAAAGCGAATGTTCAAATCAAAACGTACAATAATTTTATAAAAGCAATATCTATTAAAAAAAAAAAAAAAAAAAAAAAAAAAAAAAAACCTACGCCTAGTTTCTCCAACGTCTAATTTGTCAAAATTTACGTCCGATATTTCAAAGGTAGGTTTAACTTTTTAAAGTCTAGCCCTGGATCTAATTTCTCAAAACTAGGTCTAATTTCTTCAAAATCGACCAATCCTCTTTAGAAGAAAGGTTGGCAAAGTGCTGCTCGCGAGCCTGTCAATGCTTTTTTTTTTTTTTTTTTTTTTGGCGGCGCGCGAAAATGAATTGAAAACGGCCCGCCAAACATCATTGGAAAAATAAAACATTGTTTTTTTATGGCTCGACACCGATCATCAGTAAAAAGTAATATCAAAACTGAGAATAAGTGGTAGAAAAACAGTGCATGAAGATTTTAGCTCTCAGAATTAAATCAAAAAATCATTTTGGCCCTCCGACCAATTGTTATGCTTTAGAACAACATTCTTCAGTGCTCCCAAAAAAAAAAAAAAAAACCTAAATCGAACGACAATTTGAATTTTATATGTCTGTAGTTTATTGAGAAGATATTTGAACATATTCGCAACAAACAAAAAAAAAACAGTATTATAACGTTCGCAAAGCTTAGTCTACAAAACTACAGTTTAGTTCTAAAATTACGTTATAAATAGGTATTTACAGAACTACAGAAATTGTAATGCTATTATAAGGTAAAATTGTTAACATTGATTACACAAAGAATTCTAATAATTGTTGGATACACATAATCTAAAACCCAATGACTTATTTCTATTTGGAAATAACGGAATTGAATGTTATTTGGAACAAAGAACATTTTGAGGAATACATTTAAAATAATATAAATATTCTCATTCAATTTCCTGTAAAATGAGTGCCTAAAAATAAACAAATAGGCCTATTATTGTAAATGTATTAAAAAAATGATGGAGTTTCATTATTAAAACAAAAAATCAATTTAATACATGTAACTTTGATGGTGACTGTTTAAAATGTGTAACTTAATCGTGTTTAACTGTTTGTTATACTAATTGTATTTTAAGATGATTTATTTATAATTTGAACAAAAGAAAAAAAGCAACCTAATTATGCTTTACCGTGTAATTTTAACTTTATAGTGATGTTGTAACGACCAAGTGTCTCAAGGACTAAACATCTATACGTTCCATTTGTTCCCGTTGTAATACTGGAGATGACGACAGTGAATAGGTTGGATGAGTTCTGCAATCGAAACCTAGAGAACGGTAACACATACCCGCTGTTGAACACTATGTTATCATTATAATAGCATCGAAGTTCCACAAAATTGTCAGAGTAAAAACTGGTTGACGCAGATCCACCATTAATGACGTACAATGTCTTGGAAACATTATTGCATTGGTGACCACCACTGCAGCAAGACGCCTTGATGAGGATGCCTAAGGAAACAAACTAAAGGACTTTACACCACTCAGATACAGACACTGTATATCACACAGAAACAGCGATAAACATTATAGGGTAAAAATAGTCAAACAAATTGATTAGCAAACTAATTGTATTTCAAATTTGTTTGCGTTATGCACATATTACTGACGAATATTCCCTCAATAACATCTAAATTCAAATAATAATCAAAAAATAGTCTAAACCGCAGGCTTATTGTTTTACTTACAAAGACCTATGACAAATCTTAGGTAGTAGTTCATCAGGAGGAGGCTTACATCAATATGCTACCATCAGACTAAAATTGAAAGATGTGACTAAGGACAGAGCATGTTTTACTTATATATCTACTGCATGCCAGCAATCTTAGATATTATGTCTGATTATAAAGGAAGGTACGAATTATTTAGTTTCTATAATGAAGGTGATACTTTCCATCTACGATTTCTGAAGACAATTAAATATTTCAATATATAAAAAACTCAATACATTACACATACATATACACACATGCACAGACACACATATATGCACACACACCCACATACATGTACACACATATAAATACAAATACAAAACATATACATATACATATATGATATATATATATATATATACATAGGCATATATACATATATATATATATATATATAATATATATATATATATATATATATATATATATTCACACATACATAATTATATGCATACACATTTACGTATGTATTAATTATCTATATACATCACATACATATATTTTTTTTAATTTCCTTAAAATTACACCAACAGCAAACCAAAGAGGTACCGCATTATGTTGACAATATTACTGGTGATGGTAATGATATTGAAATTTTACCATCCGATCAATAATATTAATAATAATAATAATAACAATAATAATAATAATAATAATAATAATAATAATAATAATAATAATAATAATAATAATATTAAAAATAATAATAATAAAAACAAATGGCATAAAATTATTAAACAGTCAAAAGAGCTTATTTAATAAGCCTTGCGTTCATATCTTTTACAATAATTTTACTTAAACGCTATTCAATGGTTCGTCGCTTAGTTAAAATTTTAATTTTATAAATAGCGTAGACTGCAATGAAATATATTTGGTTCTTAATTTTACTGTCACAACCCAAGAGGAGTTCTTTAAAAGAACTACTTTTAAAGAACCAAGATGAGTTCTTTAAAAGAACTATTGCTGTTGTAAAGGTTTTTGAAAATATTCTCTACTTTTTTCCATAACATATTAATACTTATGCATTCAAATAACATGTGTTTTTCATCCCCCAATTCACCACAGTTGTTACATGTATTAATATTTTTAGCTTCAAATTATATAGTTACATATTGGTGGGAATAACTTTGTTTAATAACTACACAATATTTATTGGTATTATTTAATTCGACACAGCATTTAATAACATTAAAATAAAAAGAAGGTATAGTATCAAGGCCCGTGTTACAATGACACACTCTGTCTTATTGTAAATTGCATTAATCCGTTTATGAAAAGAGTCTCCAAAATTAATTTCTTTTAATACCTTAAATACAAATTCACAGAATCGAAGCGCTTTTCTAAAATCAAGGGATGGAATAGCACCTTCCATTTCCTATTTAGCCGTATAATGAAGAACATCAAAAATTAGCCGAACATTTTCCCCAGCAAAGCGCCCTTTAATATCCTCTTTCGTCACTGTTAATAACACTTTCAATTACTTTGTTAAGTTTTGAACATAAAATTTGTGTTAAAATCTTGTAATCCGTTTTTAGTAATGTGATAGAACGACAATTTTCTAATAATTGTTTATCCCCCCTTTTTTTTTTTTTATAATAAATGTATTACACCCCGTTTCTGTGTATGGCTCATTTAATTTTTAAAATAACACTCGTTAAAGCCAAGGCCTAGACCACGTCTTAATAGCCTCAGTATTGTTACTTACATAATAATAATACATAATACGTTACTTGAATTTTGATAAACAAACTAACTTAAAAGAAAATCGGTTTTATGTACGAGCCCTGTGCTAACTTGAAATCGCCATATTTAGAGCTCTGTGACGTCATATACGTCCGACCGTAAGGCTTCATTGAATTTTAACCAACAATTACATTGGCAATGTAGGGGAAGATCACTCCCAAATAGTTGAACTGTGCGCTCATTTGTTATTGATATGAACAAAAATTATGGCTATTGAGAATTATAAGCTTGAACAATACTGAAAAGGAAAGTAATGGTTTTATTGTTTAAAAACCGATAAATAAAATTAAAAGCAAGTCATGTTGCGATGATAATAAAAGATCGGCCGCTGATCAAGTACCTACACCGCATGCGCAGTATGCTAGTTTGTTCTTTCGATCCGTTCTCAGCAGCTCCATACAAACCTCGGACTGTTTGATCTTCTGAAGTATTTTGTTTTTAATCATCCTTATATTATTGATTATGTCATTTTACGAGGGTTATAGCTTTGAACCTGAATATACAGAAGAGGAACTGGCTCTACGCCGATTAAATAAACAACATGCTCAAAATGCTCGGAACAGACAACAACATGTTTACTGACGACAAGGTTGTCCCGTCTCAAATTCACAAGTCATTTCTTCAGAAGAGTAGGTGGGTTTATAGGTAGCCTATGGAAACTTACGTTTCTCGCTGAACTCAATTTGTACAGCCGATAGCTGTACAAAAAACCACTTTGTTAAATTAAACAATCACGTAATTGTTTTTTTTCTGCTTATAGTGTCTTTTCGGTCGATCGATCTTTTTCCCCGCGACTACACTCGTGACCAAAGATCGTATAGCGCCGCTACGCTATACGATCTTTGCTCACGACATAGAGATATATTAAGAATACTAGAGCGCTAACTGCAATGTATTCGATGTTCGAAATACGCAGAGCTATGTGTGTGTACCATCCAAAATGGCAGCCATAGATTTAGCCAATCAAATTTCGCCTAAGCACCATCATTTGCAATTGCGCCTTCAATTTACACAGAAAGTTCAGTACAGCTAGTTACCCATATGTTTGAAACTCGAGCGTTGCGGTGTATGGGTGTAATGTACACGATTTTAACTTTCATTCCTTGGTACTGTATTTTTAAATAAGATGCTCCACTTGGCCTCGTTTTGGATAGATATTTTAAAAATTTGATATTACCATTACTCATTATCATTAATGAAATAATAGTCAGTCAGAGGGCTTATTTATGGTAATAATATGTATACTAAGCCTGAAGGTGGCGCTTTACTACGACGGCCATCTTGGATGGTACACATACATAAC